TCTTGGCGGTTTTCTGTGATGTGAAGTGGACAGAGAAGAAGAATGGGTGAGACTAAAAGCTTCCAGCAGTGAAGGGTAAACAGAGTCAGGCTCCATGCAGAAGAGCTCACTTCTGCTGCACTCTCACACGTTGACTGAATAATAATGGCTAAAAACATGCCTGAGCATTTGGTACCCAGGACCCTGCACTAGTGACCTACTTCACCCTTTGAAGTCTTACAACAACTGCGCAGGTTGGAGTCTTTCTTGAGATTCTCCCAAAAGGAAACACTTGAATTTGAAAAGAGGTCCAGACAGGAACTCAGTGAAGGACTGGGAGACAAAGCTGGAGGCAGGGAGAAAGCAAATAGAGCCCTGGGGAGATGGCGACCACTTTGGAGGAGAGGAACTCAGAGTGCCTGCATACATCCTCGAGTGTGCAACACAGACCTGTATCCCAGGAGCAAAGTGCACAGGATATCCACCCATCAGCTCCTACTGCCCACACATGACGGCTGTCCCAGAGACATCACCTCTTACACACCCCGCGGGCTTGCGTGCCAGTGGAGCTAGCTGCTACCGCCAGAGGAAGTCTGCAAGCATCTAAGGGAGAGGTCATCGGAATGTAGGGAGGGTCCTGCACACAGCAGGGCACACCCCAGATGAGCCATGAGGTCCAGGCAGGGCATCTGCTAGCTATTTGCCCAAGGGTGCTAATTCCAGCTCCGTTTCACAGGTGATGATGTGGATACTTGGAGAGACTGTGAAGTGTTTTGTGCAGTTGTGTGTGTAATAATTAAGAGGCCACCTGCTTCCAGACCCATACTCATTTTTCTTAGGAAAGGCTTGGTGATACAGGAGGGCTACATCGCAGTCAGAGACTGGAATGGAGCTCACTAAGGTGGGCTGGCAGAACAGAACGGCGAGAGCATTCTCTCCCAACTCCAACCACATCCTTTCCAATTCAATCATTCTCTCTCGCTCGCTCGCTGGGTAAACTTGGGCGAGCCCTTCACTCTCTGTGCCTCCATCTCCTCACCACTTGGGACAACAGTGGCCTCTGCAACAGGCAGTTGTTCAGAAGAGCGTGTGGTGGCGTGGAGCTGGCGTGTGCCCACGAGACGCTGTCATTTTTTCACAGGTGTGCCGAGCGTCAGCTGAGCCAGCTTCTTCACATTTGATTTTCATTACAAACCGATAGTTTTAGAAAATAATTAGCCTGACCTGGTTTACATTTTGGTAATCATGCTATATGGTAATACGGTTTTTAGATTATATATTGGCTTTCTGCCATCCCTGTGTCGCTTTCTCGGGTTTTCACTATTTCTTGCCCTAATTTCCCAAATACGTGGTTTATTTTCAAATTCTCTTGTGAGTGTGGGAAAGAGGACCCTCACAAATGTAAAGTACAAAAACGTGGTTTTATAACGCACTGTCTTCATGTGCACTGTATCACTCCAGGCTGAAGTTCAGCATTCTTGTTAGGGATTAATTCTTATCACTCTGTAGAAGGGATCTCAAGAACATGGCTTTTTCTTTGAAATTTTTTAAAGATGTATTACTCTTGTGTGTGGGGGTGTGTGCACTGCCTCATACATGTGGGATATCAGAGAACAACTTTCAGTTGTCTCCTCCCACTGGGGATCAAACTCAGGTCCTAGGGCTCCAATCCATGCCATTAGGCATGGTAGCACATATGCTTACCCACTGACCCATCTCACCAGCCCTAAGACAAGTTTGATTTGTTTTGTTTTGGTTTGGTTTGGTTTTTTAAGTACCAATGTTCATAAAAGCATCAGGAAGACTGTATCCAATCACCAGCTCTCCCTCTTAGGCTCTCATTAGACAATGAGATGAGAAGAAAATAATAAAATGATTTTAAAAATCAAATACAACCCATACTTCCCCCTGCTCCATATGTAGGGACTCCCGGACCAATCGGATAAACGTAACACCTGTGACAAAGCCTGTCATGGAGATGACATACCTAGACTAGACTGTGGCGACATCACCTCTGTGACCTTCCCCACATGGCCCTCTCTCGCTTTCTCTCTCTGCCCGATGATGACTCTAGTCAGTCCTGAGTGGGACCATGTCACGTGGCCTCTTGAGAGCACTGTCCGTACAGTACCATCCACCACAACAACCCTAGGAGTCAGCCCTCATCATTGTCCTTTTTGTAAAGTTGAAGAAACTGGGATAGACCAAGAATGAGGTAATCTGCCTTCTAATGCAGCTGCATGGACCCCAAGTCTCAGGTAGCCAACAGGGTAGAAGCCGTGCCCCTGGCAAGAAAAGTCCACCCGACCCACCCACAACCATCCATCCACTTGCTCACCCACTCGCTCACTGCCCTGCTTTGCTTTCTGTTGCTGTGATAAGCACCATGACCAAAATTAACATAGGAATGTAACCGATTTATTTGGTGTACATGTTACACTCCATGACTGGGGGAAGCCGAGGTGGGAACCTGGAGGCAGGAACTGAAGCAGAGGCCGAGGAGGGGTGCTGCTTACTGGCTTGCTCCCCACGGCTTGCTCAGCCTGCTTTCTTATGGAGCTTGCTTCCCAGGGGATAGCACCGCCCCCGGTGGGCTGGTCCTTTCCACGTCAATCATTACTCGAGAAAATGTCTTACAGGCTTGCCCACAGGCACCTCTTCCTAAGTGACCCGAGTTTGTTTCAAGTTGATGAAAACTAGCCAGTACAGACTCAAGGGCACTTATCCAATAGCCTTTGAAAAGTTTCTGCAAAGTGCATGGAAACACCTTTCGGTAACCAAACAAAGAAAAGCAGGTTGCGGGTGGAGGTGGTTATTGAGCTGCCTAAGAATCACTTTGCAACCTGCCTATTAAGTGTTTTTATTTTTTTAAACAAGAAAATCCTCGGAAATTTCAGCTTAAAAATAAAATCTACCCCCTTTCAGCAAGAGGCTATTCTCATCTTCATTTAACATTACCTAACACCCTCTCCTGTCAGGGTTTGACTTTTTTTTTTTTTAATGTACACTGAGACATCTAAGATGAGTGTTCTATACTTTTCCCGATAAGACCCTCCAAGCTGAGCCGGCACTTCCGTTTTGAGGAACGGAGGTATGCCCCGGAGGAGCACATTGGATGCTATAGTTAATTAACTAATTTACTCCATCAAGTTTAACAGTGGTTTTAACTTTAATGAGACCATTACATTTTAATATGGAAATAACAGCCTTGCATCCATAACGGTCCCCACAGTCCGGAAACCACCTCCCTCTTCCACCCACTCTGTATCAGCGTTGATGTTGATTTGTGGACCTGAGCACCACACTCAGAATTGGCAATAGGCAAGGACTGGGGCTCCTGATGGATGGTCTCCTGCAAGCTGCTGTCCTGATTTCTAGTGACCCCTGCCTGCTGTATACTCTACCTACACAGGAAAGTCAAAAGTCTTAATGCAACTAGAGTCCTTTCAAAACAGAGGCGGAATGGGGCTTTGGCTCGTCAAAACCAATGTGACTGGGGAAAGCAAGCAAGCCATGTCAGAAGTTCCAAACAGAGGCAGCAGGAGGGATCATTCACATACCACACTCGGGCTGAGATCGTCCAAGGAAGACCAACCCTCGGGCTACGGTGCCCACCCTGGGTTGCATTAATTAGACCCTTCTAAAGGCCAGCAAAGCATTAATGTCACCACACTGGGAGCTCTCAGGGGGAACTTTTATTATCCCTCACGCAGAACTTTCCAGTTAACTAGGGAAAGTTTTCCGATGGCAATGAATCACAGATCCCGCGAGCGTGAACCCAGCCTGCGGAAACCCAGCACAGCTGTCTTCTGCCGGCTCCGTGTGCAGTTTGCGACCCGTAATTTTGTCATCAATTTTCATCTTTTGTTTAAACATATTTGTCTTTTGGACAAGATAGGCCATATTTCATATGTTTGATGAATATTCTCCTTGGTCCAGTTTTACAGAATTTGCACTTAATTAATTGCCCAACCTTTAATTCGACAGACTGTTTTTAATGGTTCTGTAGTTTCAAAAGCATCCACGCAGTGGAATTTCGAGAAAGTAATTGTTTTTCTGTCACTTCCAAAGAAAGTCGCAATTATTAAAATGTGTAAATAATTTGTCAAATGCGCAATGGGCAATAATTAGGAAGATATCAAATAAACCTTTAATGGATATTTTTAATTTGGTGTTCAGCAGGGATATTTAAATAATGCAACAAAATATGTCATTTTTCTCCTCGGGACTATAGGAATCTTGATGTGAAAATGCCCCCTTTCAGTCGCACAGACTGGGTGGCAGCGGAGGTGACGCTGTGACTCTGGAGCTCTTCACAGGGCTGGGAAGCGGGACCCTCTCATCACGGTATCTGAAAGTCTGCCCATCAAATGCGTCACTCAAGCCGTCCTGCTCTGGCGTGCCTGGTAAACGGCACGCAGGGATGAGGAGACAGAGGTCAGTTGTTGTCAGCTCTTTATAAATGCACCAGAGCTGGCAGCTTCCAGAACGGCCCTGTTTCCCTAGCAACTTTGTGTGCGCTCCTGTGTTCGCTACATTCTTCGTCTTGTCATTGTCGTGTTGCCTTTTTGTAGTGCAGACTCTCTCCAGCGTGGCCCCCAGTCACACGGGCCTTTGTAGGAAGAGAGTGGTGTTTTTTAGAAGGGACCTGAGCTAAACCTGTGGGGGGACAAATTAGAGAGTTCAACCTGTGCTCTGATAACAGACCGGAAGCATGACAGGGAGGCACTGTGTTAGAGAAGACAGAGAAGACCAAAGGAGAATGAAAGGGGCGGGGCTTCTAGAAATGAACATCTGGAACTCTATGACATTTCTGAGAAAGAGCTTTACCATTTCTTTTTATTCGTGTGTGTGTGTGTGTGTGTGTGTGTGTGTGTGTGTGTGTGTGTGTGTGCTTGACGGGTGCTTTAATATGTCTGTCAGTATGCATGCAGGTTCACATGCATGTATGCGTGTGAAAGCATGTGGAGGCCACAGCTCAATCCCAGATATCTTTCACAGCCCCTTCCACCTTGTTTTTTGAGATGAAGCCTCTCACTGAACTAAGAACTCACTGACTTAACTGGCTGGCCAGCAAGGCCCAGGGAGCCTCCTGTCTCCACCCGCCACGTACTGAAATTAGAGGTGCACACCATGGCTTCTAGTGCTTTCATGGGGGTGCTAGAGACAGAACCCGAGTTTACATGCTTTATAAACTAAAATATCTGCCTGGTCCTTTTTAAAAAGGATTCGTTTGTTTTTATTTTATGTGCATTGTTGCTTTGCCTGGATATATATCTGTGTGCAGGTGTCAGATCCCCTGGAACTGGAGTTACAGACGGTTGTGAGCTGCCGTGTAGACGCTGGGAACTGAACCTTGGGGTGGGATGGCTCAGAAACTTTTTTGGTGAATGTCATGATGGTGAATATCCTAGACTTTGAAGTCACAAGCATGCGACAATTACTCTACACAGCAACGCTAAGGCAGCCCAGGTCCACTCATAAGTGAATGGACATGGCGATGTGCATGTGATCTGAGTCCCAGCTTCCCCAGCTTCTGGCACTTCCCATGCTCCAAGCTCCATGCGAGCCCCGCCCAGCCCCAACTATACGGGGAGAGCAAATACCACTACACTGACGACAACGTATCAATAGAGTGTCACACAGGACACTGAAATTAGAATTTGACATGCCTTTGTTGTATGTTACAAAATCTTGATCATTGTCTACCATTTAAAAAATGCAAAGATCAGAGCTGGGAGATGTCTCAATTAGTAGTGTCGGGCACATGAGCAGGAAGGCCTGAGTTCAGTCCCCATCACTCACATTTAAAAGGGGGGAGGGGCAACATGGCGGCACACATTTATAATCCTGGTGCTGGGGGGCGGGGGCACACAAGCGAGTGTAATCGAATTGGTGAGCCCCAAGCTGAGGAAAGACCCTGACTCCAAAAACTAAGTAAATGGCTTCTGGGCTTCTGAGGAACACCACCAGAGGGTGACCTCTGGCCTCCACCTGTACATACGCATGTATAAAGCAAAGACAAACTAATCATACACACACATATGAAAATGCTGTAATGAAACACATTTCATATAATAAATATTCACTAATAATAAATAAAATACTTTTATCAAGTTAAAAAACATTTAAATGTATCCTATTTGAATAATGCCACTAAGTACTGCAGATCTGAATGAAAAATAAGAGCTTTAAATTGTAAAGAGCATGTTTAGCACCCGAAACTAAGAATCAGCATGGCACCAGGAAACGGCTGGAAGAAGGACCAAGGCTTGCTGATCCTGTATGTAGAGGCCAGTCTTTCAGTCTCAAGGGACCGGTCTGCAGGAGGAGACGCGGTGGTACAGATGTCAAAGATGAAGTCGGGTTATGAGACATGATGGGGAGGAAATGCACCAGACGGACAAGGGAGGGTGATGGAAGGCCAGTGGCTGCTCTCCATGTTGCTGCCAGGAAGGATCTGTCAGAGCCCTGAGTGACAAAGGGACTCAGCCCACAGTGCACCTGGGCATACCACTAAGTCGACAAGCTGGCTGCCCTTTAGGCCAAATCATGGTTGCAAAATGCCAGAAAACAGAGCGATCGGTTTACTCAGCCCCATAGTAAGAACTGCAAAATATACTAAGTACATGCTCATTAGAATAATCCCCCATTAATATTTACAGATTTCCAGGTAGTGTGTGGCACGTCTAATCCCCAGCCACCAGGAGACGGGGGCTTTAATATGCAACGCTGCTTTACACAGCCTTTCTCTAGAACTTTCTCTAATTGAAAATAGTGCTGTGACCCGAGGTCACTCTAACTCCCCATCTTCACAGAGCCTGAGGAAGGGGAGTTCTTGGGTTACAGACTTGAATTAACTAGGCCACTTCTTTTGTTCTCGCCCTGTTGAACTTCGGTAACTTGATTTTTCCACAGCTGTTGAAGCACTCTTGTTGTTTTTTTAAAGAGAAACAGAATTGTCTTTGTGAAAGTTCTTTGGGGGGAAGCTCACGCAGGGGCCTGTTGTGTGTTTGGTGTTTTAGAGGCCAGGCCTAACTCCAAAGAGGATTCAGGCTCCTCTCAAGATCTGTAAGATAATACCAAACAGATGCTAAGGAACCCAATGGTGTGTGTGTGTGTGTGTGTGTGTATCTATGTGTATGTATTTCTGTGTCTGTGTGTATGTTTGTGTGTGTGTGTCTGTCTGTCTCTCTGTGCATGTACCTGTCTGTGTATATGTGTGTGTATGTGCACGCGCACATGTAAGTGTATATGAAGCCAGAGGTTGATATTGGCTGTCTTCCTCTGTTACTCTCCAGCTTAAGTTTTGAGACAGGATCTCTTCATTGAGTCTGGAGTTTTTCTTTACACAGGCTCCTCTCAAGATCTGTAAGATAATACCAAACAGATGCTAAGGAACCCAATTGTGTGTGTGTGTGTGTGTGTGTGTATCTATGTGTATGTATTTCTGTGTCTGTGTGTATGTTTGTGTGTGTGTGTCTGTCTCTCTGTGCATGTACCTGTCTGTGTATATGTGTGTGTATGTGCACGCGCACATGTAAGTGTATATGAAGCCAGAGGTTGATATTGGCTGTCTTCCTCTGTTACTCTCCAGCTTAAGTTTTGAGACAGGATCTCTTCATTGAGTCTGGAGTTTTTCTTTACAGCTGAACTGTCTGGCTAGTGAGCTCCAGTAGCTCCCAGTCTCCGACCCTCCCATGCTGGGTTAACATGCCCATCACCATGCTTGACTTTTCCAGGGGTGCTAGGATTCAAACCTGGGTCCTCATGTTCACATAGCAAGCACTCACCCACTGAGCCAGCTCTCCAGCCCCCTGTGGGGACTTCTCGTCCTGAATGGCTCTGTGATGGTTCCTGCAACTGTTCACAAATAGAAAGGTGATGCATGGGTTGTTATTAGGAGGTCATTTTGATTTAGGATTTCTAACTTAAAACAGATTATTGCAAGGTTGGGGCTTGAAGGGTGACTTTGCTGACATGTTGAATGGTTTGTACTAGTAACCCTCAGTAGTCCTGTTGGAGG